AGGTCTGGTTGGTAGTCACCCTCAGTACAGGGATGGACCCTGTGGTCCCAGTCACCCTGCCTGGCCTCTGGGGACACAACCTCAGTTGCCATCAAGCCCCTTGTTGGAGCCAGGCCTGGATGGAGTTGGAGAAGTTCTTGCAAGCTGCTGAGACTTCCCATGATCCCAGCCCCTGCCTGGATTGGCTGCCACCCCTGAAAGGCGAGTTTTCTAAACCTAGGTGAGTGCTGGTATCTTCTATACATGATTCTTTATCCTGATTTACTCACTGGTCTTTATTTTTCTTTACTTTTTTTTTTTTTTTCATTTTTGACAATAGTGAGGTTTGAACTCAGGGCCTCATGCTTGCTAGGCAGGTGCTCTCCCATCTGAGCCATGCCCGGGGCCCTCCTTTTTTCCACCTAATTTTATTGCTAATGGAATCCAAGTGTCATCCACCCCACCCCTCTTTGCAAGGATCTGCTTCTCATACCCACAGGTAAAGTGCACATTTCTTGTCAGATCCTTCCCAAGTTGTCCCCCAAAGCTGTTCCTCGAGGTCCCTCTCTTCACACCCAGCCCTGCTGTGACATCAGTTCACTTTGCTGCTCACCACTATCTGGAACTTCTGGTCCCCGTCAGTGGGCACTGGAGAGGTGGTGGTGAGAGCCAGTTGTCATTTCTTCTTATGACTCTGCTCCTTTGGTCTCCAAGCCTTGCCACTGCTCCAGGCTCTATGGGGTAAAACATTCTTTAATGAGGGATTAGAGTAATTGAAGGTAATTTCCACACATGAGTAGACAGGCTGCTGTATTCAGTTGTATGGGATATACACAGCACAATTCTGGACACCAAAGACATCTGAAGTCAATACACATTAGTATGTTTAACATGATAATCTCCTAGAAAATGGTAGCAAAATATCTAGGAGAAGGGACTGATTTTTCTTATTTGTACAAAGTGTCATTTGGATTAGGCTAGGGACTGATTGGAAAACAAAAGCTGTGTATTAAATATGACTTTGTTCCCTAGTCCAAGGGGAATGAATGTCTCCCTCTCTTGGTTACAGTAGTCTCCCTCTTTTGGGGAACTCCTCCTCCTCTATTCCTGATACACGATTCCCAGGGACTGCTGATTTCATAACTGGCCACTTTACCCTGCCATAGGGGTTGGCCAATCGTCTAAGTCATAGTGATTGGTCCAAAAGCTGGGCCAATCACAGTCCTTCCCTGGGATTTATATATACCAAGACACAAAGAATGACAATCTCCTTAGATGCTTCTAAATTTATCAGAAGTAGCTGAAGGAATTCTGAAGGAGCTGGTGGTGTGTCTCCCACCTGTGGAGGAGAGGGGAATGAGAACCCCAAACAGAGAAGGAAAGATGCAGGAGAGGGAAGAAGGAAGGAAGGAGGGAGCTACAGACCTGAAGACCCCTTTTGGTGCCCCTGGACCAGTTAAGACTATAGACCAGCTCCATTTCTGTCCTATGTCATGCGCCAAAGAACCACCATTTTTCCTTCAGCTAGTTTAGTCTGAGGTACAGTCACTCACAAACAACAGAATTCTGCAAAATACAGTCACCTCCCAGAAAATCCCACCCTGACCCCCAGGGAATGGTAACCTGAGCAGTCAGTTTTTTCCCTCGGTCACTTGGTCAGAGTGACTTCCTAGGCGCTTCAGCAGATACTCCCTCATGGTTGGTGGCCTTCCTGTGCCAAGGACCTGGGAGCGGGTCTCTGGAACCCCATCCCATACTTCAATTCCAATGGGGTAGAACCCCAATCCAGAGCATTTCACAAGTGTCCCCAAAGTATCACAAGGTACCTGTTGGACAAAACCACACCCACACACCTCACAAGGACAGCCACAATGCGCAGTAATAGTGCAGGCAGCGTGGAATTCCTAAGGCTATTTCCTACACATTATTCGTTGGTCTCAGAATTATGTGTCAGTCACAGAATTCTGCAGAGCAATATTCAGTTCCTTTCCTTCAGCATTCGTTTTCTAGCTCCTTCCGTGTGAGCTTTTTTAGGCATCCGGCCCAGTAAAAGGGCCCATTGCTTGGTTGTTGCTCTCTCAATGAACTTCCTCACCGGTGTCAAAAATAAACATGAAATTGCCCTTCAGATTCTTAGAAAGAGCCTTTTTTTCCCCCATTTCCATCAGAGGAGGGGAGGAAGTAGCTGGCCTTTCCAGTACCATGGTTTTTCATGACCACAGAATATTCCCTCGGGTGAATCACCTTCCTCTAATCAACCGTTCCCCTTGTTTTGGGACACACACACCACACACACACACACACACACACATCCTAGGATGTAAGCAAGAGTTCCCATTGAGGAAAAAAATGAAAAGAAAATAGGTGGAATGTCCAATGCCTGAAAGAAAATAATAGCAGGTAGGAAAGGAGCCAGCAAGAGATCCTCCTGCCTCAGCCTCCTGAGTACTGGGATTACAGGTATGAATTACCATGCCTGGCCTTGCCATGCAGTTTTATGTTTAAGAAACTGTAATAATCACCTCTTCCTGCCTGTTTTCCACAGCCACCTCCACCAGCTCTGGGCTTCCTTCAGAGGGATGAGGGTGTCCGCCTCTTTGCCAGCCTCCCTGCCTCCAGCTTTGCCTCAGTTGAATCTACTGGCCACTTTTTTTTAATGCTCAGAAAAATTTTCTCCAATGTCCATTTCAGTATTTCTCAGAACCAAATTTATTGTAGAGTAATTATAGTAGCTTTTTCCAGTAATTTTTTTGAGGGGGTGGCACACAGAGTGGAGAAAGAAGGACTGGCTGGTGTCTTAGTTGGGAATCTCCCCAAAACAGACCCTAAGGAAAGGATTTGGGGGAAGTAATGTATTTGGAAGGAGACCCCAGCCTGTCTCACCTGTGGGCAGAAAATGTGGAGAGTCAGGTAAGAGTGGCTCCTATGACCTCTCTGCAGTTGAATTTCTCTCTCTCTCTCTCTCTCTCTCTCTCTCTCTCTCTCTCTCTCACACACACACACACACACACACACACAAAGATAGACATATGATTTGTGTCCGTGTGCTGGGAATTGAACTTGGGGCCGCTAACTTGCTAAGCACATGCTCTTGCACTGAGCTACACCCTCAGCCCTACACATATGACTTTTGAAACAAAAATAAGTACCAATCAGACTGATCTCTAAAAAGGATGATTAAAGATTGACACTGTAGTAAGAAGGATTTTTAAACGAAAAAAGATTATCAAAGGAAATCATTAAAAACAAACAGAAAAATAAGACCTTACTATGCCTACTGGTTTTCTCAGTCAACTCTCTTGGACATCTTTTCATATTGATAAATATATTCTGTACCGACACTGTCCATGGCGGAAGGGTATTTCATTGGCACAATAGTCCCCATGGGCATTTGTTCTTTCAGATTGTGGCTGACATCGCAAAGGTGCGAGGAACAAGCAAATCTTCCCCAACATGACTATGCAGTGTCCCTTAATTCTCTCCTCCTTGAAAGCCACCTATGACTCTCCATTGTCCACATGGTGACGCTTACATTCATAACTTGACGTTACAGTCTGATTGGTGTCCGGCCTGGGTCTGCTCCTCCACCACAGTCACACAGTTGGACCCACTGGGTCATCCCAGGCCCTGTCCATTCCTGCATCCTCATCTTCTGTCCCCAGCCCCAGCACTGTCCAAGACCACCTCCCATAGATCTCCATCTCCAGTGATGGAGTTTTCTGTTTCATTATTCCTTCTTTTTTGGCTGTGCTGGGAATTGAATCGAGCACATGCTGGGCAAACTCTGGCACTGAGCTACCCACCTAGCCTCATTATCCCTTCCTGTGTGTCCCCACTGGGGACTCTGCCTGTTCTTAGTCCTCTGCTCACATTTCATGGGTCTGTTTTTTCACTGCCCCCACAACCCTGGAACCAGGGAGGAGGCTACTTGGTGTCTCCAGTATTCAAAGGGTGCCTTTTTGCACAGGACCCTCCCTGTTCACGGTTTGCTGATGATTACTGGTTTTGCTCTCTTATCTGGAATGAGGATGGCTTGAAAGAGTGTTCCACTCCTCTGCGAGCCTGTGGCCATCATACCCAGATCTCAATAGGGACATCCAATGCCCTTCCACAAACCGTCTCACTTAGAGACAGAAGGACTAAGTGAAGGGAGAGGCAGGAACGGTCTTTTTGGTTTTTGGTTCCGCCACTGCCAGGAAGGGAGGAGAAGTGGAGGGTGGGGAAGGGTGCTAATCCCAGCTTCCTGTGGGGCTTTTCCTTGACTGCTGCTCAAGGCCTAGCTTAGGATGGTCACAGCTGCCGAAATAGATCTCTCTGCTCACCTGTTCTTAAGCAAGGGGACCTTGTAACTTCCTGTCAGAAGAATGCACACTTTGTTAACCATTCCAGTATAGGGGACAGTATTGGGGCTACTCGTGCTAAGCTTTCTCCCCTCTGAGGGACAGGAGCTCACCCTTGGCCAGGAATAGGAAGCAAACAGCCACAAGAGGAGAAATAAGGAGTTTGGGGCCAGAGCCCCAGCCTCCCTTGTGAATTTGGTCACTGTTTCCTTCTTAGGCTGCCCTCTCCTGAACAGCAGTGTGGCAAGGGGCAGATTCTCTACCTTTCTCACTGATCTGCCCAGCACCCCCAAGCCTGCTCCTACAAAATTCCCTATTCCTACTGAACTCTTCAGACTCTGGGACTCAAAAGCCAGGCCTCCCCAGCTACTCACTCATTCACTCACTCAACAAATACGGACCCTGCTCAGGCCCCGTACTAGGAATAAGAAAGTAGGGTGGAGGTACAGGGAGGAGTAAGGCACGAAGCCCAGGGAGCCCCAGGGCACGGTGTTGGAATGGACCTTGGGGCCAGACTTGGGCCTGGCGATTTCAGGTCCTTGAGTAGGACAGAGGAGGTCTGGGGCGGCGACTTGGGCTGTCGCCAAGAATCAGGTCAGGCCCGCCCCCGCGCGCCTGGGAGGAGCCCTCCCTCCGCGTCCTGGGCGTTGCCAAGGTAACCCTGCTCTGCAGATGCTGACCATGGCCTCTGGGGCGAACGGGAGCTGGGGTCGCGCCTCACCACAGAGTGCAGCCCCGACGGTGAGGGCTGAGCCGGGGAGCACAGCCGCCGGGGAGGACGCGGAGATGAGGGGCTGGATTCTGGAAGGTGGTGGGGTGGGGATGAGGACAGAGACCCAGAACCAAGAGGAAGAGGCTGCACAGGGAGAGGGGAGGCCGTGGGCGCAGAGAGGCACCGGCAGAGGGGTGTTGGGGGTGCCCCAGCTCTCTCCCACCTGGCCTGGCTAAGTCTCCCCACCCATGCCCCCAGCCCTGGGTGACCATCCTGCAACCCCTCTCGTGGGCCGTCCCATCTCCGTCCCCACAGCCAGGTCGCGTCAAGGAAGGTGAGATGCTGGGGTCACTCTCCATCACTTCCTCTGTCGCGCACACTCTGTCGACTTCGGTGTCTGCGCTGCACGCGCCCCCCTCGCCCCTAGCCGCCCCCTTCCGCGCTCCCTGGGGCGGACTTCGGAATAAAGGTCCTGGGTTCAGGGCGGGAATGAGTGGGGGTGGGGTGGGGGCGGGGAGGAGACCATGCCGGAGGCCCGAATGGCCTCCTGACCCTCGGGCCCCTAGACCTGCTGGAACTGATGATGCTGCAGAACGCGCAAATGCACCAGCTGCTACTGAGTCGCATGGTGGCTGGGGCGCTGAACCTAGGACCCGACTTGCCAGGCCCGCAGGTGTGTGGGGATGGGGCCACTGGGTCGCCTACCTGCTGGCAGGGATTGGGGTAGGGTTGAGATCCATCTGGAGTTGCCCACTGGTGGTGGGGGAGCTGGGTGGGGGAGGGTTAGGCATAGAGGAGCGGGAAGCCAGCCCACACCTCTCTACTTGGGTCCCTTTGGCGTCTATGTGCCATGGACCAGTGCCAGCCTCCGTAAGAGGCTGAGTCCCAACAACCCCACCACCTGGGGTCTTGTTCCAAGTAGGTTCCCCTGCAGTCCATCTCTCCCCCGACTTCAGGCCCCCAGGAGGGCGGGCATCACTGCACTCTGGTTATCTGATACTCATTAGGGGATTGAGTGATATTTGTTGAACAGGTGAATGAATAAATGAATGACTATAAATACAAGTCACTGGTAGGCTGTGACTGGCACAGGGGAAGTATGGGATGGAACAAAGGTCCTTTGGAGGAGGACCCTTAGTGGCCTTAGAAGCAGCCCTTAAGAGCCGGGTGGATTTTGACCGCCTCGAGGAGGGAGTGAGGAATGACTTCCCCACCCTCCAGGCTGCAGGGACTGAGTCAGGAGTCTGCAGGAAACCGTGTGAGGGGCAGGAGGAGGCCACACTAAGGCTGAGCCTATTCTGCTAGTAATGGGTGTCCTGAGAGGTTGGGAGAAGAGAGGGCTGGGTGGAGAAAGGACTCTAGGACACTGAGAGGGGTTCAAGGAGGTACCTGCCAGTGGAGACCAGGCAGAGGGAGATCCTGAGGGGCTCCTATCACCTTCACCTCCAGAGGGTCTTGGGATGAGTGCCCCACACCATTGAGAGGCACAGGAAGGTCCAGGAGCAGGGGCTGCTTAGACTCCCAGGCCAGCTCTGGGGTCACACTGGGATTCTTCTAGTCTTTGCTCTACCACTAACTGTGAGACCTTGGACAAATTGTTCAATCTCTTGGATCCTCAGTTTCCCCATGTGCAAAATAAGGAATAAATGTTTCCAAAGTACCTTGCTTGCATATAGTGAATGCTCACTGAACAGCAGCCATTATGAGATGCATATCTGATCTGGAGAAAATAACCAAAGGGGATGGAACCCAAGCCCGTGTCACCATCTTCCTCCCTCCTTTGCACAATCCCCAGGTCTACCTGGAAGAGGAGGAATCAGAGGAGGAGAATGACACCCAGGAGGAAGGGCCAGTGGTGGTCCACCATCACTACCTGCCCTGCCCCATGCCACCCTGGGCCGCCCCTTTCCTTCATCCACCTCCACACCAGCCCCACTGGCAGGATGCACCCAGAATTCAGCACCAGCCTCCTGCCTCTCGGCAAAGAAGAGTGTAAGTGAGGGTTGGGGATCTGGACACTGCCTGCCCTGGGGGCTGGGCTAGAAGTACTGACCCGGGGGCTTGTGGGTGAAACCCTGGAGGCCATCTCTGGGTCTCTGAAGGGGTCTTTCTTCTTTCTTCCCCATCTCAGGAGACCTGTGCCCCCACCTCCACCTCCCAGTGCCACAGAGACTGTGGGTGCAGATGTACCCCCGGCTTCAGGTAGGGGTCTAGTCAGTGGGCAGTGGGGCCAGGCTGGTGGGTGGATCAGGAGGCTAGGAGGACCATGTGGCCTGTGAGGGTGGGCTCCTTCCATTACTGCTACGGGTACTGCTTGTCCCCTTCTCTGTTCCTTCATGGGGTCTCCTGAGGCAGGAAGGAGGCAAGATGGGGGTGCTGTCTCCTTAGACTACTATGATGCCGAGAGCCTTCCCTGAAGAGCAAGCTTGCCTGGGCCTTGCCAGCTTCGGCACAAGGCTGCGAATCACCCTGGAATCTCCAGCTGCTCCCTACTGTCTGCTGATTCTGCACCTGTGCTGGTGCCCTTCCTACCCACTATACTTCAGACTGGTTCTCTCCTCTCCTGGAATCAGGTCCTCTCCATCCCACTGCCATCTTGAATTAGCCTGGTCTCCGCTCTGGAGTAAGAGTACCTCCAAACCCTCCAAACCCTGTCCAGAAGCCCTTGAAAGCCCAACACTGCCCACCGTGTCCTGCCTGAACCAGGGGAGGTCTGGACACTGGAGCCCCAACCCACCTCTGCTCCTCACTCTTCTCTCTAGGAGGACAAAGGTTGTAGAGTCACCTTTTGGCCTAATAACAGGGCAGGAGAGAGGAGAACTGGATCCTGTCTCCTAGCTGCCAAGCCCAGGACCACCTTCACCCCAGGGAGATGACCATTGACAGAAAGGAGCCAGGGCTAAGTCTGCTCTAACCACAAATGGCCTGAGATCCCGAGGACCAGGCGGGAACAGTGTCCTCTGCCCCATGGGCCTGGGTGTTTCCCCACCTCCAGTAGAAATGTCACTGCTAATGAGAGTGGTTGTTTGGTACCGTGGCTGGTCAGTGAGGGCTGCTCAGTGCCTGGCTGTAGGCGCTCTGAAAGGCCCATGAGGAAGCTAAGGAGACACTTGGGGAGAGAAGGCATGGCTGGTGCCTTCCATGTCCCAGGAGCACACATGGAGGACACACGGTTAAGTCTAGATGATTGTATTCAGGCTAGAAAAGAAAATGTTCTGAGTTCTGTGCTGTCACAGTCCTTCAGTGAAGGCTAGACCACACCTTGAGAAGCCAGCTGAGTTCTAGCCACCACCACGGTGGTGGCCATGAGGTCACACAGGATGTGCTGGAAAGGCCCGGGTGGTGGCCATGAGGTCACACAGGATGTGCTCGAAAGGCCCGGGGCAGCCTCCTCCAGGCAGCTAGCACCCCGTAGGTGCCCGTCCGCCTCTGGTGCAAGTGCTGGCCGAAAATGAAGCAGAGCAGGATGGATGTCACAAACAAGAACAGCAGAACTGACACAGCAGTGATGACGATGAGCATCTGGTTGTCCTGCACAGGCTCTGGAAGGGAGGGAACAGTGGTCTTAAAAGTCATCAGGTGCCAGAGCCCTGTGGGTTCACCCATCACTCCTTGCCCACTCATCCATCTTGCAGTCACCTGGTGAGTTGGTGATAGTAGCGGCTCATGGTATATTTCCCTGTAGAGTGACACTGAGGAGAAAGGTGGCCTACAATTCAGGCTACCAGCTATAGCAGGAATGCCCCTGCCAGCACCACTGGGACCAGTGTGTGGTGGCTGGACACCATGCCCTGGACGATGTAGTGCAGACCAAGCAGAGCTGATTTTTCGGACAACATCCCTGATGACAGGGAACACTTTGGCCATCTAGAGTCACCGAGCCACAGTGCTCTGGGGACCTCAGGGGTCAAGCAGGCCAACTTTTTCATTGTAGAGAGGAGACAGGGTCAGAGACAGCAGGTTGCCTCGGTCAAGGCCACACAGCTCTCCCAGTAATGCCAACCAACTAGTTGAGTTCTCCTGATCTTTGGAACAGTTGAGGCCCAGGCTGGGGACTTAGAGAAGCAGGGAAGAGAGAGGCCTCAGGATTGAGTGTGCCCTCCAATTCGCCTGAGAGTAAGGACAAAGGGCCAAAGTAGATGCTGCCTCCCTCTTTCTGTGTCCACGGGGTTTCCTCACCATAGATCTCAAGGATCTGGGGCTCTGACATGCTGTGAAAGATGCGCCCCCCGTGAGCCCGCAGGTCCAGCTCAGCCTGGCAGGAGAAGTTGAGGAGACCATCCTCTCTATGAGCTGTGCTGTTGAAGGTGACGGTGGCCTCTTGTAGGACAGGTGCTGCCTCCCTAAAGGTCTGCTTCTGAAGCGTCTCCTTGCCATGAAACAGGGTGAGGGTGAGGCTCTGGAGGGGCTTCACAGCAGGCACACTGCACTCAATGGTGAAGGGTTTGCCCACCACCACCCGCGTGGGCTGCAGCTTCAGTACGACCTGCGTTGGAAGTTCTGCAGAGGACAAAGGAGGGAGGTCTGGTCAAGAGGGAGGTGGGCCGCTGAAGGCCCTACCAGGGCCATCTGGTGTTCCAGGTCATTTGTGAGAGAGGAAGTGGGCTGGGGCCTGGCCTGATATCATTAAAGAGAAGAGAAGGAAGTAGTTCAGGGTGAGGGTATACTGGGTAGTGGTTTTATGGACAAAATTTGGAGAATAGACAAGATGGAGGTGGTCAAGTGTTTGTAAAGAGAAAGTCCAGAAATTGTACAGTTAATTGGAAAAATATGAAAATTTGAAACTGTCTCCCTCCCCTCCAGATACTAAATACAAATTTTAAAAATTAAAAAGTTGAATAGTTATGTTGAGACCTAGAAGGGCTAAGAGCTCACTGAAGTTGGGCACTTAAGTTGACCGTGAAGTTCTTGAAGGTAGGGGCGGAAGTCAGACTTGCCTCATTTCTCCAAGGTCAGGTTCACATCATACTTCCTTATCTGTTGAACAGGGCCTGTGGCAATACCTTGGATTTTCCAGTTTGTCTCCATCCACTCCCAGCTCCACCCAGGAGAATGGGTTGGATTGAGCACTTCTGTTACATTTGATCCCCTGGTGTTGGTGATAGGGAGTGGAGAGGGTTTCAGGCCTGGAGCCAAGATGTTGAGAAAATCCTGACCTATCTGGAAGATTTTTCTGGCTCTTTGTGTGTGTGTGTGTGTGTGTGTGTGTGTGTGTGTGGTATGCATGGGAAGGTGCCTACACCACGTGACACCTCAACTTTCTCCTCATGAGTTGAATGGGTTTTCAGAGCAATCCCAGCTCTCCTGCTGTGCCCTCACTGCTTGTCATGGATGTGGGGGTGCACCGGCAGCTGAGCTGAGGGTGCACACTGTGTTGTAAAGTGACTTTTGGATCTGAGGAACCTTTATTAGACTGTTCTCGTTGGGGCAAGACTCAGAACTTGGGTGGCCTGCTTCTGAGATTCCAGTGAACTCAAGGAATGTTCCTTATCACCAAGGAGCCCAAGGAGGTGCGGGCCATGATGAGAGGACCTAGGAGTGGTGACAGCAGATTCAGGAACACTGAGTAGACACAGGCTTTGCCCTGGAGGACAGAAGGGCCTGCCCACGGCACTTACGATACACAGTGACATTGAGGTTCCTGGACTTCTGCTTCTCAGAACAGGTGAAGTGGCAGGAGAGGATGGAGTCCTGGGTGACATTGGAGATGAGGAACCGGCGCCACTGAGGGTGCTGTTCCAGCAGAATCTTGTTCAGGGATGTCTCCAGTCCACCGGTGTCTGGATTGGGACAGCTGGTGCTACAGTTGACTTCCAAAGACCCTGTGATCTCAACCGCCAACCTCTCTGGCCACATGTGTACCTCAAACATCACCTCACCAGATCCTGGAAAACCAGAAGCATGGGGTCTGCTGTCTGCCACCAGCAGTCAGGATCAGGGGCCAGGGATCCAAGAGGAAGAACCATAGCTGGTCCCTTTGTTCCTGTCCCTGTGTCAGCCTAGGCCTCAGGGCTGTATCCACAAGGCTGTTTCCCAACCTCTGCATGCCTCTGGGCACTCCATCCTCCACCCCTTCTGACTTATCAGCTTCCTCAGGCTCATCTCTCACCTCCCTCAAGGTCCAGCCAAGTGTCCCCTCTTCCATGAAGGCCCCTATAAGAATGGAGGTGAGCTCTGAGCTGTGGCCCTCGGTTTAGCCCTTCCCTTTCTCCCATAATGCTTTTTGAAGACTTGTTCAGTTCCAGGCTGTGGGGACATAGCAGTGAGCAAAGTAGACAGAACCCCACTCTGGCAGAGCCTGAACTCTAGTGAGGGAGACAGATGATAACAAGGAACGAACAGAACACCCAGCATGTCAGGTGGAGGTAAGTGTCCAGGAGAGAGGGCCAGGATGGGGAGCACCATTTAAATAGTGTGGTCAGCAAAGGCCTCGCCTTTGATACTGGGCAAAGGTGAAGAGAGGGGGTAAGCCCTGCAGATGCTACTTGAGAGCATTCCAGGTGAAGGGCGCTGCTGGCACAAAGACCAGGATGGGTGCATACTTGGTGCATTACGAGCAACAGGGAGGTCAGGGCAGGGGTCTTTGAAGAGGAGAAACACAGGGGAGACGGGGCCAGAAAGGTAATGGACTACCTCCAAAATGACCTGTTGTGTCAATGAAATGTACTCATGACCATGCTGCTTTAGACACCAAGCTTCTTGTAGGCAGTGCCAGGTTTCACATGGTTCCCTTTGTGCTGATCACAAAGCCCTGCATATGGCAGACATTCAGGAAGTATCTGATGTGTGAAGATGGAGCCCTCAGTGGCCACCTCCACTTCATGAGGACTAGGAAGGTGCTGGGTCCTAACTGTCTAGGCCCAGCCTGTGTTCTGTGCTGTTACCTCCCTGTACAGGAGAGGGGCTGTGCAGCCAGGCATGGTGCTACACACCTGTAGTCCAAGCTACTCGGGAGGTGAAGGTAGGAGGATTGTGGTCTGAAGCTGGCCCAGGCAAAAGTGCGAAATCCAATCTATAAAACAAACTGAAAAGCAAAAAGGGCTGGGCGCTGGTGGCTCATGCCTGTAATCGTAGCTACCCAGGAGGTAGAGATCAGGAGGATCGTGGTTCAAAGCCAGCCTGGGGAAATAGTTTGGGAGACCCGATCTTGAAAATACCTAGCACAGAAAAGGGCTGGTGGAGTGGTTCAAGTGATAGAGAGCCTGCCTAGTAATTGTGTGGCCCTGAGTTAAAACCCCAGTACTTCAAAAAAAAAAAAAAAAAGCAAAAAGGGCTGGGGGGATATGGATCAAGTGGTAGAGCACTTATCTGGCAAGCGAGGAGCCCTGAGTTCAATTCCCATTACCAGAAAGAGAGAGAGAGAGCCTTGGTTTCTTCACCCATAGCAAACTGCTTTCACTTTTCTTGGGATGGCTGGGAGGGGTCAATAAGATAGTGCTGAAGGCACCCAGCAGATTGTCCAGGGCACAGGGTACTTAACACACGATGGTGTTTCCTCCACCCTTTCAAAGAGGTTTCATTTTCACTTTGACCACAGCCAGAAGATGGTGTCTTCTGTTGCCCCCAACAGTCCCCTAGGCCCTTTCTGAAGACAGGCCGGGCACACACCCTCATCTTCCCTTCACCTCCTGAGGCCGTAACCCACCCTACCATTTGGCCTCAACAGCCTGCCACACCAACACCTCTGAAGCTAGGGAGCCTGTTTGCCCTGGTGTCCAAAAGGCCAGACCCCGCCCACTGCCCAGATCCATGGGGACCTGAAACTGGGCTGGCATAGTATCCTGTACTCATGGCAGAATGGCCCCTGAGTTCAAAGCCTCAACCATGCAGGGCCAGAACACCCTCCCCTACCTGAAGCCCAGAGAGGGATCTCACCACTCCCCCACCCAGGAAAGCCACATGCAGGGACCCTGTGCACCCGATTCACCTGGGCAGCAGAGCAGAGTGAGAAGTGCCGCGGGCAGGCCCCAGCAACCAAAAGACGACATCTCGCAGGTGGGGTCCACAGGCTCCCAGGGAATAGCCACGGTCTCCTGGAGGGAGACACACAGACAGCACAGGGTCAGGGAGTGGTTGTTAGCTGAAATCCCTAGCCTTCTGGGAGCTGATGACTGCATTTCCTCTTATTATGTACAGTCAAAAAGCTCATTCCTGGGCCTTCAGGGCCTTCAGAATTCAGGCAGAGAAAGCCAGGAAATAGCTGATAAGCAGGAATGTAACAGTCCTGCTCCCTGTGCAGGGGCCCAGCAAGGCGAGCAATGAGAGCAAATGTGAGAGCACATGTATGCATGTGTGTCTGTGTGCTGTTGTGCACAGGACAGAATGAGGCCTCCAGAAAGTAAATCTGGGAAACCCCAAATGCCACAGGACCCCCATCAGAGTCCCCTCTGGGAAAAGAATATCCAGAGTCAGGACTCAGAGTCACCACTGCAAAGGGGTCAAGACCTGGGGCTTCTCGAAGGAACGTGGGCAGGGATTTGAGATTCCCCTGCTGGTGCCCAGTGTGTGTCCGCACACACCTTAATGTCCTCCTCTATTTCCAACCCAAACTTGGCCCTGCCTTAGCTGATTCAGGGCCCATGTGAGGCCCAGGGCCTCAAGAAGTGACACCCACCGTAGTCCCCAGCAGCCTGGGCCCAGGAGAATAGGGTTCAGTCAGCCTGTCCCTGGGTTCACCAGGCCCACTTCCTTGCTCCTGCCCTTCAAGTGAGGGCCTCACTCTGGGGGTTGAGGGTTGGGGGAGGCAGCCTGTTTCTAGGGAACCCCCAGACAAGAAGGCCTTCCTAGGTGGCTTTCCCTCACCACACATCAAGCCTTTACTCTCCCAGTTCTGTCCCAGTTGTTTGGGACCAGGCTGTGAAAGAGCAGGTCCTCTTGCTTTTTTAGGGGACCCCCCTGTTGGAGCCTTTCCAAAGACAGCCTTAGGCCCAGCCCCGTTCCTGGGTCAGGACAGGTCCCGCCCTTCACTGCTGAGGCCAAAGGCAGTTACTGCTGTACAGTTGTCCAGCACCACCATTGCCAGCCTGGATCCAGGGAGGTCCCTGAACAGGGCTGTCAGGCTTTGGAATGATGACCAGGAGGGATGGGCAAGGCCAGGGATCCGAAGAGAGAAGAGGCAGAAGTGGTGGGTGGGTGTGTGGGGGGAGGTCCGTTCTCACCTGGGGCTGGCAGAGCTCTGAGGACAGGGGGTACTCCTGCACCCAAGCGGGAGGCTGAGGGGGTGCCCAGGGGCGCGGGCAGCTGGGCAGAGGGGTGGGAGCTGCTGCTACAATGGAGGTGTCATGTCTTCCACTGGGTCAGAATAAGGATGCAAATGATACAGCAGCACCATGTATAGCCGTGTTTTGCCTCAAAACTTCTGAGAAGTTTTGTCATTAGGTGATTTGTAGTTGTGTGGCCGTCACAGTGTAGCCACACAAGCCCAGAGGTGAGCATGGCTTACACATGTGGTATGTGGAGCTGCAGGTGTTGAATTTTCATATAACTGGCAGAGCAGTTTGTTTGCAACAACATCATCACAAACACATGAGTCGTGCACTCTGCCACGACAGTGACAGCTGTGGTGTCACCAGGTGATAGGAATTTTCCAACTCCACTATGATCTTAAAGGACCGCTATTGTATTTCTGTGATCCATCATTAATGGAAAGGTCGCCGTGTAGCACATGGCTACACATACTTTAGGTTGGTCATTGTCATAAGCACGTTATAAATATTAACTAATTAGTCCCCTAACTCTATAAAGTAGAGTACTGTGACTGTCTTTATCTTACAGATGGGGAAACTGAGGCACAGAGAGGTTAAGTGACTTGTCCAAGGTCACATACCTAGGAAAGAGTGAAGTCACAGTGAATGGCAGCTGTGACAAAGTCGGCCAGGGCGGGGCAAGGACGGATTGTTAAGAGACAGATGCCCTGGCACCGCTCAGGAGGGAGATGAAAGGCAGCTAAAGGACGTGAGGGAATTTCTGGGCAAGTCTCGAGTGCAATCTAGTTATAAACAAAAAAAAGAAGGAACAAGGGAAAAAAACCTGCTAAGAACAAAAATGGGGACATAAATACACTTTTAAAAGAAGACCTTAAGAATTTACAGAAACAGAAAGTAAAGTCACGGTGGTTTACAGAAGCTGAAGAAGGAAATGGGAGTTGTTTTCTAAGATAAGATTGTCAGTTTTGTGAGACTGGTTCCAAAGATTAGTTGCAAAATATTGAGAACATGGCTTATATAAAGATGGGTAAATGGTGCTTGTTATGTGTATTTCACTACAATTCAAAATAAAAATGAAACTGATTAATACTGTATGCCATGAAATATGGAACAAAGTAGACCAAATCTTGGAAAAATATAACTTGTCAGACTTAATTTAAGAAGAGATAAAAAGCCTGACTGGTTCTATAGCTCATAAAGACATTGAATCAGTAATCTAAAATTTTCTTCACAAAGAAAATGCCAGCCAGGCATGGTGGTGCATATCTGTAATCACAGTTATATGGGAGGCAGAGGTAGGAGGACTGTGACTGAGGGCACCCTGGCAAAAGCACAAGAGCCTATCTGAAAACTATGAAAGCAAAAGGACTGGGGGTGTGGAAGAACAAAGTGTGAGGACCTGAGTTCAATCCCCAGTACTGAAAAAAAAAAAGAAAGAAAAGAAAAGAAGGAAGGAAGAAAAGAGGGAGGGAGAGAGAGAGAAGAGAGGGAGGGAGAGGAAGGAAAAAAAGGAAAAAAAGAAAAAAAAAGGCAGATCAAGATAATTTTACAAAAGTTCAATTAGAGGTAAATCTAATTTTAGAAAACCTTTCTGAGTGGCCAGTATCTCCAAGCAAAACAAGTACAGAGTGAAAAAGGAAAATTAAAGGCCGGTCTCATTCATGAATATAAATGCAACAACTATAAGGAAAATACTAGCAAACCAAATCTGCCAGTGTACAAAAAATACGACATAAAGCTGGGCGCCAGTGGCTCACACCTATAATCCTAGCGACTCAGGAGGCAGAGATCAGGAGGATCGCAGTTTGAAGCCAGCCTGGGCAAATAGTTCATGAGACCCTGTCTTGAAAAATCCCTTCACAAAAAAGGTCTGGTGACTCCAAGATGAAGGCCTTGAGTTCAAACTCCATTACTGAAAAAAACCCAAAAAACAAAAAACTAACCAAAAAACCGACATAAAACAAAACAAGCCCTCATGATCGTGTATGCCTATAGTTGACTCTTAGGAGGCAAAGGCATTAGATCTGAGCCGGGCTAGTAACACCAGGAGAGAACCCTCCAGAAGGCCCTCACTGTGCTGGGGCATGGCGCTCTCACCACACCTCTTTCTTCAGCTGTGCGGACAGTGGATGGCTTCACGCCAGCCTGGTCTTGCCTTTGCTGCCTGTGTCCCCCAGAGCCAGTGGGGATGCTCAGCCCCCTTCCTGGCGGGCAGTGCTGGGAGGCCTCCTAGGGGCTTTCCAGGGTCCCAGAGGAGTTGAGTTTCTTTGTCTACTGCTGCAACATGGTCTGGCTCTCTTTGGTGGGCTTCTCCTCTCTTCCTGCCACCTCCTTCCTGATCCTTCTCTGTTGCTGCCCCAAGCCATCTGTCAAATAGTCTGCCTGCATCCAAGTCCTTGCACCAGGCTCTGCTTTCTGAAGGAATCCAGACTGAAAACTTATGTTAACAGATTTAAGAAGACACATGATCAAGTTACACACACACACACACACTGATGACACTCAACACCCTTTCATGATAAAAGCTCTTAGCAAAGTAGAAGGAAAACTTACATGTAACTTATGTATTGTTTTCAATGAGTAAATATAGAATTTCCTTTAAAAATTATGATCTCTGCCTCTATTTAACATTATACTAATTGACTAAATCGAACAATTGATCAATCAATATCAATCAATTACAGGATTAGAAAAAGAGCAAAACCATCAGTATTTGCCATGGTATGAGTGCCTAGGCCAAAAATCTAAAAGCAAAATCAGATTAGTGATGCAAAATACTACGAGATCTTAGCAAGGCAGCTAGCTACATAATCAATATCCAAAAATAAGTTCATTTCATGTACATCAATAACATGAAAATATAATTAAAAATATACCATTTAAGAACTTATACGTGAAAGAAAACTTCAAAAACTCTTGCAAGAAAACACAGGAGAATATTTTTATGGCATTGAGACATGAACTTAAGCAAGACCTCAAAATTGCCAGTCATAAAAGAAATAATTGATAACTTTGATTACATCAAAGGCACAAAATTTTTTAAATATCCCAGTACTGCAAAAAATTCAAAGAAAAGGAAATAGTCAAATGAGAAGTGAAAAATTGCTTTAACTCAATAATAGCCAGGAAAATTAAAATGGAAACCACAGTAAGATATCATGTTATGTATGTTAGGATGGTAAAAGTTAAGAAATCTTGACAAAATCTGCTTTTGGAGAGGCTGAGGTAAACAGGAACTCCTATAATTGCTGATAAGTGTGTATACTGGTCTTTTGGGAAAAAATGAGATATCTCATGAAGCTGATTATTCTTATACCCTATAATCCACAGTTCCTCACTCAGATACATGCCCTAGAAAAACTTTTGCACTCAGACCCAGGAGACATGTCCCATCCTTCCTTACTGTCTGTGTGACCATGGGCAAGTCACTTAGTCTATGCTTTAACTGCCTCATCTGTAAAATAGGGTTAATAAATAATATCTCCCTCATAGGGTGTTGTGTGGATTAACCAAATGAGTTAATATTTTAAGGCACTTAGAACAGTGTCTAGCACATAGCAAATACTCGGCACTGTAGAACTGTTTCATAAAACAAAAAGAAACCAGCATGCACATGAGGTTAAATTCTGTGCAGGTGACACATAGGTACCTAAGGAGATGCAGGTTTTGGTAATATTCCATCTGTGCTCATTCTACTGCTGTACAGTAGGGGACAGGTATATCATGTGTGCTTTTCGATGTGTCACATTCTCAATTTTACAAAGAGAATACAAAGGGAAAAAGGAAATAAATGTAAACACAAGCTAGGCATGTCCTTTCTTGAGGTGGGTGGTTTTCCCACAATGAGATCCATCAGGAACCCATGATGCTCCCTGGGAAGAGGGACTGTCCCTTCTGCACATCAGCTTAGGTGGCATGAGACTTGTGAGAAAGAAAGCAGCCCTATGTTTCTAAACAGTCGCCCAAATGACAGAAGGAGATGATGAAGGTAAAACCTAGGAAACAGCCAGCAAGGTAGGTGGGCCGGAGACCAAGCAGAACAGGATCTTTGAGGGGTGGACACGGAGAATGAGGGCCTTTGGGTGCCCCCCACTGCTGAGCTTAGTGGGGGAAACCGAGGCCTGGAGAAAGAAAGGGACCATAATTCAGGCCTCGGTGTTACAAGTCCAAGACTCTTTGCTTGCTGCCAACCTCAATCAGAGGGAAAGTGAGAGGTTCTAACTTACCCTGGAGTTGGGCTGAGGGCCTTGTGCAGTCCAGCCATGCCTGGCCAAGGAAATGTGGCTGGTTCAATGAAGTCACAAATCAGATCACATCCCACGTGCATGTGCATGTGTGTGTCTATGTGACTGCCCTGCCACCAGTTCACTTTTAATTCAGATGTTTCTCTCTCTGCACCCTGAGGAGTCACATGCTTCCTGTGTGTGCCCAAACTAGCCTGACTTTTAAAAAAAAATGTGGTAAAATATACAGAATGAAATATATCGTTTTAATCTTTGAAATGTACAGTTCTGTGACATTAAGGGCACTCCCATTGTTGGCGGTTGGCACCACCATCAGACACCAGGAAACAGCACCTCCCTTCCTCCCCCAGCCTCTGGCACCCCTCATTCTACTTTCATTTCACTTTCTGTCTCTGAGCTGTACTACTCTAGGAGCTCCATGAAAGTAAAAGCATGCAGCAGTTGTCCTCTTGTGACCAGCTTATAGCGTCCTCAAATTTCACCCACGTGGCAGCACACATCAGAATTTCCTTCAAGGCTGAAGAGTAACTATTGTGTTTTGGGCATTTACGCACCACATCCTTCCTGTCCATCCATCTGTCCATGGACACTTGGGTTCCTTCCACATTTTGGCTGTTGTAAAAAATGCTGCTATGAGTGAGGTGTACAGATATGTGCTCGAGACCCAGTGTTCCATACTTTTGGGTGCTTACCCAGAAGTGGAGTTGCTGGATCATACGGTAATTCTGAGGGTTTTTTTTTTTTTTTTAGGAACCACCCCCTTGTTTTGCTCTATTCTCTCTTTTGATGTGCAGTTTCTGCACTAATAGGGGCCTTTGTTGTTGGATGGTTATGTCATGTGTGTGTCACCTCGCAAAGGTTACAGTACTTCCCACTACCATCATTCTTAGGACCAGGTCTTTACATGCGGACCTTTGAGGGACACCCATCTAAACTAAACCACAGCAATGTCTCATTTGTGACATTTCTCCAGGAGTTACATCTGGATTTGCTTTTTTTTTTTTTTTTAACCTTTTATATCTACTCCAAGTCTGTAAGCAGTAGTGGGGCTCTGGTATTGACTAGGTCCTCCCTCTGCAGGGTTTATTCCTAAATAAACTCGGTGCTGACATTTGAGCTGTCTCCCACCTATCTCTTGTGTGCCTCTTTCAGTATAAAAATAACTAAACTCTTCCATAACCTCAGGTTTAGGTCATATATTCTCTACCTACTGTTTCATAGCTTTCCAGCTTCTTCCTTTAGTATTTTCCTCAACAACCCATTGCTATTTCTTATCTCTTTCAAACCATCACTCTTTTCCTGTACATGTTTTAATCAGGTTTTCTGAGGAGTTTCCATCTTTCTTCTTGACCCCACCTTCCTGGCCAAATGATTGGTCCACCACTGACAACATGATACTATATCTTCAGGGTCTTTCTTGCAATTTAAAAAAACCGAATTGGAGCCAGGCGCTGGTGACTCACACCTGTAATCCTAGCTACTCAGGAGGCAAAGATCAGGAGGATCGTGGTTTGAAGCCAGCCTAGGCAAACAGTTTGTGAGACCCTGTCCTGAAAAAATCCAACACAAGAAAGGGCTGGCAGTGACTCAAGTGATAGAGTGCCTGCCTAGCAAGTGTGAGGTCCTGAGTTCAAACCCAGTACCACCACCACCAACAACAACAAAAAATAGAGCAAGTTGAGGAAAGAGTCTATTCTGCCTGGTTGCAGAATTCAGAGCTGAGACACTGCCTGAGGCCATGCCTTCATTCATGGGAGACAAAACAAGAAAGAAATCAAAGAGCAAAGGGAAGAAGTGGGGGTGCATCACTAGACCTGTTCCTGCGGGTTGGCTGCTAAGAGCCAATCCTGTTGCCTTTTGTGTGTAAGCCAGTTTCAGCTGGTTTCTGCCTCATGCAACCAGAGTGCAGAGTTAGACACCAGGAGTTGTGGCCAGACAACCTGCTGGTACAAGTTAAGTCAGAGCAACATCAGACAACCAATGATTGTCTGAACTGACCTTGGGGCTGGTGACTTAACTGGTGTTGGGTCTTTATGTCAAAGGATGGGTGACATGGCATCAACATTTGAGATGGCTCCATGTTTTTGGCCCAGCCTTAGGAAGCACTTTGGCATAGCTGTCAAAAGCCAAGTTGCATAGCACTAAGGAACATATAAATACAAGCGTGTAAGCAGTTCACATGACAAAATATCCCCACCTAAATCAGACTTACTGTCTTGTCAGAGGTGACCTTTTGCTGCATTTGGGCATCCCATGGGGTCAGGGGGGTGGAGAGCGGAGTGCGATGGTGAATACAGTATGTGAGGCAGGAGCACCTCTGCCCCTCCCCCACAGCCAGAGTTAAGACCCCTCCCACACTTTCTCAGGCATTATTTGGACTGATGGCTTTTCCTCACTGTCATCAGATGGTCCTATCGTCACCAGTCCCAGCTGCAGTCAGTGAGAGCTCCTTCCTTTCTGAGCATGTCTTTGGGGACTGTGTTAGTCAACTTCCTGTTACTATAACAAATGTCTGAGGTAATCAACTTAGAGAGAGAAAGGGTTTATTGTGCCTCACAGTCTTGGAGGTTTCAGTCTGTGTCTCTTAGCCCTATTGCTTTGGTCTTGTGGTGGCTCACCATGGTGGGAGTGTGTGGCAGAGCAAGACCACTTACCTCACAGCTGGAAAGTGAACAACAGTAAGATCTCCTACAAGGCCCCACCTCTTAAAGGTCCCACCACCTCCCAAAAGTGCCACGCTGGGGACCAAGGCACATGGGAGACATTCAAGATCGGAACTATAGCAGAGCCCCAAGCCTACCAATGAGGGAGGAGGCTGAGGATGTGGGCTTGAGCTACAGGATTCATGGCTCTCATTGAGCAGTCACCTGTCCCTGGGGTCTAGTCCCAGTCACCAGCACACTGTTTTGGGTTCTCTTAAAACCCAGGGCCCCCAGTTAAGTTTGAATTTCAGATCAATTATTTTTAATGACTCAGATATTTCGACAGTTGCATACTCTGTGTGTGTGTGTGTGTGTGTGTGTGTGTGTGTGTGTGTGTGTTCACATACACAGAAGGATAGATGTGTGGATAGACACGGTTTTAAAAGCTCTCCAGGAAATTTCAGTGTGTGCTATGCTGACAAGCACAAGTGTGGAAAAGCAGAAAGTCATGGTCTGGTTTGACACATTTGGGCCCAGCAAGGGTCTGCTTCAGACAGAGAGCTAGAGGGCCCATCAGGAGGGGACTGCAAAGTCACAGTCACTCAACATTCATGAGGGAAGGCAGAAGTGAGGGGGTTCGCTCTTTGGATTGCAAATAGTTTGTGCTCCACCTGGACTGAAGCCGTCTGTGAAGGCCCACAGCTGGTGTACTTGGGAGCGCTCCTTTCTTTTTGCTTTTCTTTCTTGTGGTGCTGGGGGTTGAACCTAGGGCTTTGTGCATGCTAGGCAAGCATGCTACCACTGAGCTACATTTTCAACCCCTGGGTTTTTGAGGTGACCTCTCCTATGTAACCCAGGCTGGCATTGAACTTGAGATCCACCTGCCTCTGTCTCATGAGTGCTGGGATTATGGGAGTGTACCACCACACCTGGTTAGTGCTCCTTTCTTGATGGCAAGACTGCTTTTAGTACTACAGAGGCTGTTAGATTATAATCTATGTGCCCATTCTGAAAGCTGTACATGTAGTTCTGGTGTTCTATGTGTAGCCAGGGTACGACTCCTTCTTGTACTTCCTCTGGCATCATTTGAGGCAATCCCCATCCATAAACCTCCTCCCCCAACTCTGTGGCTTCTGGCCAGATTGCAGCCTGTCTGTTTTCCCTTTCTTTCCCTGCTATGTTTCTGGCACATTTCTCTTTCAACTGCCAAAAACATGCTGTGTAAATGTTTATTGAGCAGCTCGATTTTATGACACGTGTTTATAGCAAGGGGTCTCAAACTTGAGCATATCAGCATGCATGGTTGGAAGGCAGACTGGAGTTACACAGATAATTTAAAAAACATTGATTCTAAGTCATGTAAGCTAAGACACGACAGTTTGGTTGCTGTTGCAGTTGGTGCCTGAACACACACCCATCAATGTCCTTGATGTTATGCTCAAGGGCATGAGCTCACAGAACACCAGGCTCTGAGATTACTCCCATTGTACGGAATGGTACATCAGTTGTTCCATGTTGATCCTCAAATTCGGAAAGTTTGTTAATATCTATTACTCAGGAAACTACCAGCTAATGAAGGAATTGAGTTTATGAAATCAGGCCCCTTGATCTTCTTAGTCTGGACTTGAAGTCCCACTGAAGAGTGGGGAGGAGGATCAGCATCCAGGCTGGTCACTCAAGGCAGACACCTGAACTCTTGGAGTCCAGGAGCAGGGGCAGCACATGGGCGCCCACTAGTGTTAGAAGTGAGTAAGCATCCTGCCACTCAGTCTAAAAACCATTGGCCCTGCAGGCTGTGGTCATAACAGGTAGGTTTGGAAATGGGATTCTGAGGCTGTTTTTTAAGGAAACTGATCTATGCGGATACATGAATTTATCTGTAAGCACCCACCAGCCAAAGAGCTGAGGGAGGGAGAATCTAGGAGGTCTCTGCAGGGGGAGATTTCTTCAGCTGCACCCCCTCCCACCCCGGCCCTTTTTCTTTAACCCATGCTGTGAGAGAATAAAAGGTAGGCCCTCAACTAGGAGCTCATGTGCGAAAATGAGCTGTTTCCTTTGGAAGATGCCAAAGGCGGCCTCATAGAGAGCAAAGGCAAAAGCCAAGAAATACACCAGTTAAAAAGATCAATTAATATGACCAGGTTAAACAGAGCTCAGGGAAGGTGCAGTTCAAACAGTAGAACCAGGATGTTTTTTTTCAGCTGCATGTAGAGGCAATGGTGACAGTTTTGGGGTCTGGGCCTAGTGACAGTAATAGGATCTGTGAGTTCTAGGGCATGAACCTGGTCTTCCTTTCCCCCAACTCATGAGAAGGTTTTCTAACTGTCCTGAGGCCACGGGAGAGAACTCATCTCATGGCCAGGAAGCAAAGAGAGAGACAGAAAAGGGACCAGAGTCCCAATAACTCCTCGAGGGCACACCCCCATTGACCTAAATATCTCTCACCTGGCCTCATCTCTTATAGGTT